GTATATATATATATATATATATATATATATATATATATATAAATAATGTGTGTGTATATGTATATTACAAATTTTTAGATAAACCTATTCGCTAGTAGTACTACCTGGACCATAATACAAAGAATTTATCATCAAAATGGATTAAAAGGTTTATTCACAGGATTAATACCACGTTTAGTAAAAGTAGCCCCAGCTTGTGCAATTATGATAGCGACTTTCGAACATGGCAAACGTTTCTTTCAGTCATACAATGCTAGAAAAGTTATTGAATTTGACGTACATTTATTGCAACATAAATCTAATAGTACAGAATGATATATTTACTGTAGATAAATGTACAGAACTATAATAAAAAATTTAAAATGTTCTTAAAGATTTCACTGATATCTTTTTCAAAACTGTATGGGTTATTATGTTACTATGTGAATCATTGTTAATGTTAACATTTGGTCAACATAATTCACTTTGTTAATGACAGCATTTGATTAACATTATAATTCACTTTTTATCAGATCGCTTTTCATCCATTTCAGCTGACCACCTTTTAATGCCCCATTCATATATTTCCTATATCGACGATATATACTTAGGCTGCATTTCGATATTCACTGCCAGTACTGAAAATCTATAATATACGTGACATGAACTATATATTTTGCAGAATGCAGCCTTAAAGTGCATTCTAAAAAGCCATTATACGTGAAAAATTTTGTTTGTAATCATGAAGTTTGTAAGAAAAATTAGTCAACTAGAGTCGGTATTTTATTTAAGTTCTGTCTATGATCTACTCATAAAAAAATTGATCAATTAAAGTGAAATAAAGGTGTAAGGAGAACCAATTGATTAGTCAATTTCTTATATCCTAAAGCTATTTGGATGACACCCGTTTGACCACATCTCGATTGTGGACTGACACTTATGGTCCCAAAATAATAAACTGTAGTTAATTAATTTACTTATGATTTTACGATCAACTAAAAGTTTTGATTTAAATTTGACTAAAATTTTTTCATGTGCTGTGATCTTAATGCCCGTATCAAACCAGAGATTAAAATTTAAAATTAGTTTAGAATTTAATCAATTAGAAAAAAGAAAAGCAATCTTATATTTAATGAACTTTGTATACCGACATAAGGCCAGTATTCTACAATACGTGGAGTATCGGAACATAACTGATGAATAAAGCAAGTGGTACACGATGCTTTTTTTCTTGCTGATTTGTTAGCTGCATTTGCTCTCTTGATGCTGGATGCTGAGCTCTTGTCTTCGATTCGTATATTTTTTTAGATCTAAAAGAATACACCAATCAAAGACAAGAGCTCAGCAAGCATCCAGTTAGCAAATCAGCAGGAAAAAAAGTATCGTATGCCGCTGGCTTTAATAAAAAGACCTCGTCTTCGGAAGATAAATTCTTTCATTAGATAATTGGCTGCGTTTTGACATATGACTTATTATAGAACGGCCTTTAAGGATATTTAATTTGTCATATAACAAAATTTTTGAACGTATTAAATACAAGATAACAAATTTTTGAAAATCTAAAAATTTCACTACGTATAGCCAACGTTCAAAAAATTTGCCGTTACGTCAAATGAAATATTGTCTTATGAGGGCTACGGTCCATTTAGCGCAATAAAAGCTTCGAAGCGTTTGATTAACCAATCAAAACAAGGAATTATATGAATTGATCAATCATGCTTCGAAGCATTTGTAGCACCAAGTGGACTGTACCCGAGATCAATATTTCATCGCAACTGCAATGGACCATAGACTTCTATGTATATAGAAATCAGTGCAATGGGCAAATTTCGTTCGTTCATGGCTCTTTATTTATATAGACTTCCTGTCCATATCGTGACATAATATGTGGAATCAAATGAAAGTTCAAAAACGTGTATCCCACCATGTATCCCACTTGTATCTTCTCTAATTATATGACGCGATACAAATATATTTAATATTATAAAAAAAAAAGTCGTAACTTTAGAGATACAGGTATAACGATCGACTACATCAGATGCGATTTGAAGCGCATTCGGTACTCGCATTGATCCAGTCGCAGCGGACAAGAGATTCGCTCGGCTAAATTCGATTGGTCAATAAATGTAATCGGGACAGGGGGCACGGAAGTAGCGAATAGGCCGTCGGAAGTCGGTTCGTTCCGTCGCAAGCCGTGTTGGAGTACAGTCCCGCAGGCGTTTCGCATACGCTCGCTTCCGCTCATACTCGACTTAACATTCCAAGGGCTGGGCTCGTCTACCGCCTCTTCGACACATACAGTTCTTTGGTGAGTGCGATCGCCTGCTGCTTGGCAAGTGAGTAAGGATGTTCCGCGCTCCTCGTGGGGGGGGCCTTTCGCCGTTTAACGTCATGTCACTTGACTGAGGACGGAGAGAGAGTGCGCTTTACGTTCGCGATATTTGTCGAGGCTGTTAGCTAATTGGATATAGACTCGATCGACCGCGTCCGGTCGATCGTGGCAAGTCAAAGGGAGAGTGCGGCCATTTTCTTCCATAACGTGTGCGAGCTCGCTATCCGGTATTTATCGGATTGTCATTATCGGCGAGGATTTGCCGACGTACGGGCAAATCTTCGTGCGGCCGCTTCGGACTCGCTCGGGACGAGTTCCGGCGGAACGAATCCCGAGAACTCGCTCGCGTGAGATCCGTCGTTACGGCCGTACGCCGCGTTACGTAATAAGCGGTGCTGAACGGCGAACAAGTTCACGATTAGCCTGCGCGCGCGGTCGCCTCGTTCGCAGCCAGCTTCACGGCATTCGCGCACCCAAAGATCACGTTGGCGGTCCCCGGTAACTCCTGTACACGGTCGTTCTTTTTTTTTTTTAGGTACCTTGCGTAGCGCCCGCATTAATAGCGAACGTCATCATGTATGCCTGCAGCCGATTCATTGCGCCCGTCGCCAAATCCACCGTGAGTAAAGAGAGAAGTCGTCCCACCGCCCGACGTTACAAAAATTTTCCGCGTGCGCGTATATTACGTAATAACCCCCTTCTGTGATTGCACACATCTTTTCTCAAATGCGCATGGATCTTTTTTCTTTCTCTCTGCTACAGCTGATCTCCGGTACCAAGACCTATCTACGGCCGTTGAGCAATGCCGTGATCAGTCACAGTCAGTACTTACAACAGAGCCAAGTTCAAACGCCCGTTAGTTTGGTGAGTGTTTCGCTTGCATAACTTTTCGAGATCAAGGTTACATAAGCGACTAGCGTCGCCGTTCGAGATATAAATTTTGAGTCTCGCAACTTGATATTAATAATTTTTCAGATTTTACGTCTTGTTACTAGTAGTGACAAAGAATATAGTCGGTATTACTTGTATTAGATTAAAGTTAATATTGTTCAATAAATATGTGTCAAAATTAAATTTGAATGTTTTAATTAGCCATTAGATAGAATTAAGTATTAATTTATGAAAAATTTGATAAAATTTGTATATTTTGTATGTCATGGTTTTAGGATTTGTCTAAAGTATATTATGACCCATATTTGAAATCTTTCTTTAATAAATAAAAGTATTTTTAAAAATGGCTTATAAATCTTCTAATTGGTTGTAAATCACTTTTCGAGGCATTTTTATCGATAAAAGAGAATTCAAAACATGGACTTATTCTCCTTGTTTTTTGAGATAAATTTCTATTATCAGTAACCTGTAAAAATTTTGATTTATTATTGATAAATTATTAAATATTTTATACATTCTACATTAATTTTTGCAAAAATTAGTTGAAAGACAAGGACTTTGTATTTTTTTAAGTATCAATTTTATAGTTAGTATATTTTTGAGATAGTAAATGTATTGAAATCAGAAAATTTGTTTATGACATAAATTTTATTATGTATAAATATTATATAAAAATAATATAAGCTAACATTGATGATGTCTAATTCATGATGCTTTGGTGCAGTCACCTGTTGTGCGTAGCTTCCAAACTTCCACAGTCAGTCGTGACATCGATTCTGCTGCAAAATTCATTGGCGCTGGTGCTGCCACTGTAGGAGTAGCAGGATCTGGTATGTATCTGCAAAAATATTTAATGAATGAATTTAATAATTATAAAAATTTTTCTATTAATATAATTTCGAACTTAATAATTTTTTAATTATTATTATGTCTAATGCACATATGTTTAATGTGTATGTTTATTATGTTTATTATAATATGTTTGGTTAATTTTCCTATGTTTATATATAAAAAACTTTGGCTCAGTATAATTTTCACTTTTGCAATTAAAATTAAATGGACAAAATTTAATATTATGCAATTCTTAATATTTCTGTTTAAATATTCTTTTGCCTTTTTTATAAAATTTAATTTTTAAACTTAACTTTACATTAAAATGATCAAAATGCTTGAAGTATTATAAATTAAAACTTTTTTGAATGGCATGTGTAAACAATTTTGCAGAATTAAAATCATGTAAACTTATTAAATGTTATATGTCATGTATATTTTAATTGGTTTCTTAAATTTACATTGTTTTAAAAAAAAATGTATATTATAGGTATTGGTGTTGGTTTGGTTTTTGGATCATTAATAATTGGTTATGCACGTAATCCCTCCTTGAAGCAGCAAGTTTTCAACTATGCTATCCTTGGATTTGCGCTATCTGAAGCAATGGGTCTCTTTTGTCTGATGATAGCGTTCCTTATATTATTTGCTTTTTGAATCCATTCCCTGAAACACATCCTTTTTCTATGGAAGTAAAGTTATAAACTATTCTTTTATCTTATGTCTTGTATGATCTTAAAGAAAACATTTAATTATTCATTTTTTGTTTTAGTAATATTAAATACTTTCATTTAGTAACAGTAAACACATTTCTATTCTAGGTGCTGGAATTGGGTCCGTGTTTGGTTCACTGATCATCGGCTATGCCAGGAATCCTTCCTTGAAACAGCAACTATTTTCATATGCCATCTTAGGCTTTGCCTTATCTGAGGCCATGGGTCTATTTTGTCTTATGATGGCTTTCCTGCTCCTATTCGCCTTCTAAGCCACAATATCTGCATAAGTACTGCTGATATAGTTTTAGTGCGTCACTGCCAAGGCAGCATCGTCTGATTCTATGGGAAAGGCGGCTGTCTCTGGTTGCGCGGGATGCCATGAAATCATTAGAAAAGCTCGGATTTTACATGGTTTGGTGGGGTTGTGACAATGAACAAGAAATAATAAAAATTATGACACATCATTGTACGAAATTGTTCTTCCCCGTCCAAACTTCAGCTTATTTATAATTATTTCATGGCCTATTGTATCTCATGTAGTGTATAATTCACATTGTTATAAAATAATGGATTTCAGTATAAACGAATGAACAAGACATTATTGAAAGTTCAAATTAAAAGAAAACGATAGCCTCACCCGCATACCCATACATACACGTATGTATTCTGTTAGAGTGTCTTATGTGACATAGTACATTTTTTTGATGATCGTTTTGTCATCCAATGGAGTCATCATTGTTCTGCCGCCGTGTACGCACGTTCTCGAGGTAACTCGACAAAAGAAAAAAGAAAAACTGTACAGTGATACCGAATAAACATCTTTGACGTGAAATCACGAATTTTTGTATAAATGTCTATATTTCCTTTTCAACCAATTTTCTATTTGAAAACATTTTCAAACAGATTTAGTTTTAAATCTATAAAATATTTATAAACTAAATGCTGAAATAAAATAAAATTTTATCTTATAGAACCATTTCAAAATAACGATTTAATGTACTTAAAAATGAATGTTTTGTAGTTTTGCATAAGATTTTATATATATATATATGCATATATGACCATATCACTTTTTGTGAATACAGCGGTTTATTTAATAAAACTTTTTTAAAGTCTGAATATTTCCTTTATAATTATAATTAAATATTTATAATTATAAATTTATAATTTTTAATGTTCTGTCTTATATGTGTATAAATGTCTTAAATTGAAAGAAAATATTTACAACATAATGTTTTGCATATATTTTTAAAATCAAATATTTTAAAAAATAGTACAATAAAAAACATACAATTGTATCAGCATATTGTTAATATTACTTTTTAATATATATATATATATATATATATATATATATGTGTGTATGTGTGTTTTATTTTTATATTATATAATTATTTATCCATATAGATACATTTTTTATGATTTAGATTAAGTAATCGCTCTTTTCACATTTTCCGATATAGTAAGTAACTCTCCGTTTATTACAGTTTCTCATTTTTTATATGATTATGCTTCCGTTAATTACCTTACATGATCTATAATATTTCACATAAATTACTGCATGTTTTTAACAATTTTGTACTCTTCTATAATTGAGAAGTATTATTATTTATATAAGAATACCAATGTGTTTATGTAATAAATGTAGAACAAAGTGATGCTCTCGAAATCATGTGAAAATCAGTATAAATCTTATCACAAAGTGCCAGAAAGATGAATTATTTGTGGCACAGTATTATATCTATAGTAGAGCGAACAAAATAAAATGAAAATTTAATTATATATATTAATTATATTCGTATAAAATTATATTTGATGTAATAAAGATCAGATATATACATACAATTTTTTATGTAATATTATTTTATCACATTGTATATGTATTATACAATTTTCAAAATTTAAATTTATAAAAACTAGTGGTTGATAAAACTATTCAAATTTTACCGGGTATTTGTTGCATTTAATTACATCTGGACCATTTTTATCTCCTTATAACGAATAATTTTCAGTTTATATTCCTACAAATATGGTTATTGTAAAATAAAGTATCACAGTCATAATAAATAATTTTATGATAAACCTCGTTTTGAAGTATTAATTATACCGAATGTAATGTATTACATTCCTGTGCAAAATAAAGTGCATATGTATTTTTATTTTATTATTGAAACCTTCATTTAATCACGAAGAAAATTAAACGTAATATATATTTAGATATATAAAGCTGCGTTACAAACTTAATTACAAGATTTGTTACATACATGTAACAATAAATTTATACATATATTACAATTTTTAAAAATTGTTATATATACATATCGATAATACTTAATGAAAGTTGTTTTTTTTTGTTTTTTTTTTTAATGTATTATATTTTTTTAATGTATTATATATAACTTGTATGATATTTTTATTAAATAAACTGCGATGCGTGATCGATGTACATTAATTAACACGCAGTGTCATTAAGATACAAAGTAGTGTTTATTTGCGTATCCTGAATCTAATACGATGATAAGAATTGCTTATCTCAATTTATAAATGCAAAGAGAAAATTTTAGTTGGACGATAATGGATGATATTAATAATAAAGAGCAAATGCCGCTGTTTTCAAATTGCAATCTTGATTTAATTGGTCATACCTAATAATCATGCATGTTATTTATATAATAATCATATAATCTCACCGATCATATTAGATTTTCTATCTAATTTGGGAATATTGAATATTCGATCATTCCGGTACGGATATTACATTGCATGCATCGCCGCAGGCGCATTATTTCGAGCTGTACAGATTTCCACTGATGCAAACAACTTTGAACAGACTCTACTAAAATTCTAAATTAGTCACAATAAATACATAGATCCAGTAAAGTTTTAAATAATCGACACACGAAATTTTTAATAATATCAAAAATATCCGAATGATAGAATGAATCTTTCGTTTTGTTCTTTTATATTTTCTATCCTCGTTTCCATTTCGAAAACGTTTGTTCGATAAATGTGTATTGTCATAGTAACGATGACTGCGAACACGCTGGCGAGTCTGAAACCTGAAACACGCATTATCGGATCTATCGCATTGTATCGCACGTGTGAAGCGATTGTTTAGGAAGCGTGTTCATTGATCCTTCTGGCATTCTTTTATTTTATTCATCATTTTTTTTATGATTAACTTTCAAAAATGAGTTTGATACCTTTACCTAAAGTACAATGCAGTTTACCCAAAGCGAGAAAGTATCCCATTGACGTCTCCGGTACGGCAAATATATCTTACGGGCACAAGTTGCGCGAACGTAAAAGTTGCCACATTGCAAAGCACCATGGTCTGGATAGATCTATCTTCGAAGGCGCAGAGATGGAGGAGGAGAAGAGGGAATACGACCAGTTACTTAAAATTCTGGACTTCGAAAAGGAAACCGATCGGAAAATCAGAAACAAAAATCTTCGCCAACGAGTCCAACGAGGTATTAACGTAACCATTGACATGATTTTTTTCACGTTTCATTACATTTTTGTACTTCTTCAGAAAAGTTCTTAAAAGTAAAGATTGAATGAAAAAGATAAAGTTCCTTTTAAAATCCCTACATTTTTATACATACTACATTGCATCGCGCATAAATGTTATACGTATAATTTACATTTATTAATTCCTTGTATGACAGAGTAATATTGAATTTTAGTTGATTTAAATTTTGCAAATTGATTAATATGTGCATATCCAATCTTGCAGAATTAATTTCAGGCTCTCAAAAATTGAGAAAAAAATTAAATTAAATAATCTCTCTCTTGCTCTCTGTTCAGAAATTTATTCATTTTTCATTTAATTTCTATCGTCATGCATAAATCTAGCCTTGGCTTGAATACTTTAACTACCATTTTCCTTTGTGTGATGAGAGCCGCTAAATGGGGATAATTATCAATCGTTAACACGGCGACGACTAATCTCCAGACATGTCGGCGTACGAGGAGAATCTACAGGCGCGTAGGGAGAAACTACGCGATCTCATATCAAGCGAGGAGGCGAATTTAACAAAGGACATCATAGAGACGGAGCGGCGGGATGAGCTCGCTCGGCTCGAGGAGAAGCTTGCGAGAACGGAGGAGTTGAGGAAACGGCACGAAGAGGAGCGTGAGGCAATAGTAGCCGCGAAACAGATGCAACAGTATCTAGCTTCGTGTCCGGATATTAAGCGGGAGCTGTCGCGGAGATCCGCGATCGACGCGAAGCGATGTAACGCGGCTCAGATGGCGAACAACGAGGCGAAGAGATTAGCGGAGAAGGAACTAGACGCTGTCTGGCACGAGATAACGCTGAGGGACATCGAGGCACAGAGGCGGAAAGAGGCGGAGGAGTCGGAGAGGCGAACCTTAGCCCATCAAGAAGCAGTGTCCACTTTAGCCAAGCAAGTGGCGGACAAGTTGGCGCTGGAAGAGGAGAGGAAACGGGTCAAGAGAGACGAGCAGGAGCATTTGAAGCGGCTATGCGAGGATAACCGTCAAGCGGAGTTGAGGAATTTCGAGACGGAAAGGCAAAAGCGGGAAAAGTTGAAGGAAGAATTTGAGGAACAGATCCTGGCGGCGAAGAAGTTACTCGCCGATCGTGCTCGTGAGGAAGCCGCGGTGGATTGGACGTTCGGGACGCTGGAGGAAGAGCTGGCCAAGGAGAAGGCTCGCGCGAAACAGAACACCGCAGCTCTTCGGGCGGAGTTGGACTCCTATTTGAAGTACCTGGAAGATTTGCAGCGGGAGGAGGTCAAGCGAAATTACGAGATGGAAGCGATCGTGCGACAGTCGCACGAGGACATCGAGGCGAGACGCGAGCTCGCGTTGAAGAAATTCAAGGAAGCTCGCCGGCGCGCTACGCAGGAAGTTCTCCGCGGCCGGGAGGAACAGCTGAAGGAGCGGCAGGAGTCGGAGGAGCGCGAACGACGGCTGAAGTTGGAGGAGCGGGAGGCGCTTGAGAGGCAGATCGAGATGGACGCCAACTTGACCGCGATGGAGCAGAAGGAGAGCAGACAAAAGGCGCTTCGTTACGGATTGGAGCTCAAGGAGCAGCAGAGATGCGTCGAAATGACGAGACGCCACGAATTGGAGGAGGAACGGCGGTGCTACCAGGCCGAGATGAAGAGGCAGGCGGAGGAATATCAGAAGCTTACGGATGAGCTGTTGAATGCTTCCGAGAGCATCACGCCACATCCGTTTAAGGCCCTCCTAAAGGAATGCCTGAAGGAGTCTCCCTCCTGAAGGAGAGGGAAGGTCATTATTGCTGTCCGATTTTAACTTCCGCATAGCTAACGTATTAGGAGATGCTGATAAGTTACCAGATGTACTCCTTGTAAGTTACTACTTCGATGTATCGATACACAGGGATCATGTAAAGAGCCAAGTAAATAATCAATCAGCGAGCGATTGCTAAATAAATCTATGTCGATAGAGATGTGAGAAATTGGCAAAAATTTAAGAGATCAAAATGTGAGATTTTTACTTGTGTGTGTGTGTGTGTGTGTGTGTGTGTGTGTGTGTGTGATGGAAAAATATAAAAATTATGAATATTTAATCACGTAATTCGTATTTATATTATTAAAATATTAAGAAATTAATTTTTAAAATTATGAGTAATATAACATAATAGCTTCATATTTTCCTCTTCTTTCTTTATACTCTTGTAAAACAGTATAATTACATCTTTTTTATGAGAGTGGAGTAATTAATTTCAATATTCTTCTTCTCAAAGATTATTTTTAAATGGTTCACATAAACTTAACAGATTTCAAAGATGAAAAACTTTCTTGATTGGACCGTGAATGGATCGTTAATTAATCATTTATACATCAGTATCCAATATCCAAGCTTTTAATATTTCATGTTATTATATACTTCTTTTTAACATAAAATATACAAATATAACTACAATTTGTGCAGCATCTTTATTTTATTTTGTCATGTACAAATTTATATTTAATAACAAAATGATAGCTGCAATGTAATAAAAATCCATTAATACAGAATTGATAGTATATTCGTAGTCATGTCTATTCATTTCTAAAACTAAATTATAGAATATTGCATTTGCAATAAATACAATTCCAGGATACAGACATTATCTTTAACCTTGTTCGTTCATTTTATAAAAATATTTTTATGATATTACATTCAATAAAATTATAAATAATAGTATATTATAAAATTATAAATAATTGTATATCTATCTGTCTCGTAAAATATTAATTGAAATTAATAAAAAAAATTCATTGTTATAATTGATATAAGTGACACGCATGGCAAATAACATCGAAATGAACATTTTTTTTCTTTTCTTTTTTGAGCACGACTATGCCGATCGGAAAAAATTCTTCTTATCCATATAATTCGACCTGCAGCTGGCGCTCGCACCAAAGGTTCTGACTCTTTTCTCAATGTTCTCTCTGCTTCTACCATCCGTCGGATGCTGCAGGATCCAGCAACGCGGACTGCTGAAGTGGTACATGTTTATCGACGGGAACGTGGCAATTTGATATAAGATCAAGTAGCAACAATTAATATACAAGTTTCATTCATTCTTCAAAATTTAACACGAAGAAATGATCCATAAATACGTTATGGATAATTTTGCGCGCATTTTCCCTTCGAAGCAGAACCGATAAAGGTTTAACCAGACGTGATTACTCCCCGAGTATTACGGGGTATTTTATACGATGTAGCATGACGTAATACGCCCTGATCTCCCCCCGAATGAAACGTACATATATCACATTAAAATGCGCGTCACGCATTAAATCGAGATTTACGCCGTAATTGTGTTTGCGTGCGTGTGATAACCGGCGCTTAAATAAATCTTCGTTAAATGCAGACAACTGAGATCACGTTTCATCGGCCCTTTTGGACGGAGGGCTAAGAAAATTTGCTGCTAAATAACTCCGACATGACAGCTGGTTTTACGCGCGGTTTGACAGATCGCGATACTCGGCGACGCGTCATTGTCTCCTAAATGGACGTGACGTGAAGCAATTTTGGGAAAGTGATATAATGAAATATAAAACGCGAGCGGCGCATTTGCAATTCTGAATTCTCCCCCCGTTGGGGTTTAAGAAGAAAAACCGCGCTTCGCCGTAATAGCGAACCAATATCCGCCTCCTCTCTTTTTTTCGGCGCGATTTCATTCGAGAGTGCCAGTTGATCTTTTTCTCGCATCGTCGAGCATATCATTTGCTCGATGCTCGTTGTGCGTTCCTCAATGATGTGGGTGCGTGCGTGTATGAATACGCACGTCAGCTTAATGTTGTAGACGGCCCGTTCGTGATTGATCGAACGCTGCTGGCTAGACAGCGCAGTTTGTCTCGAGATTCACCCCAGAGGTTGGAGGGTTGGTTTGGCCTGGCGCGCCTACCGATTGACTCGGGCTTTGAGATTCACGTGAAAGGTCGTCGAAGTTCAGATCGAAGACGAGTCGAGTTAGGCCGGAGGCGACGGCGAGTGCCTTTAGTTGTACGGATTTTTTTCCCTTCCCGACAAATTATTCCACTTGGTTGGCTCGAAGACACAGGCGCACCTGCGCGCGTAGACGGCGATTATCGGTGGACAAGACTAGTCGGAGGACAGAGGGAAAACGAAGAGAGAGTGCGGATGGTGCAGGTTAGTTGGGAAGGGGATGAGCGAGACCGGGAATGTGGGCGAAGAAGCGAAGAGCCAGAAGACAGAAGGAAAGACAGAGGGACAACGAGAGGTACGAGAAGAAAGAAGAGAGCGCCGGAAAGAGAAAGAGAAAGAAAGAGTGGAAACGGAGAGGGTTGCGCTGCTACGAGAGAGCGAATGGACTCTGCCTCCAGGGATGTTCTTTTGACAGTCATGTCGCTGTCGTCTCCTAAGGTCCCCCGGCGGCATTGCATTAATCTTCTTCTTCCGACCCCGCCTTATTGAAAATTCTACAGAGCGCTTCACAGTTTTTGCCACGGACGTCTTTTATACTCCACTACCGCTGCCTCCCATACGTCCCCGCCGCCCTCGCCGCCCGCATCCTCCCGCTCCAGCGAAGCATCCCCCTCGACGAGGGCGAGCCGTCTCGTGCTACGCTTCGTCGTGCGTCTCGTCACCCGGCGAGGAGAGCGTCCTTACCCGTATCCCCATACGGCGCTACGTTACGCCGGTGGTATCCGTCGACACGGACGCGTCCGAGCTTCATGGCACAATGATCGATAACGTTATCAATCACCGCATCGGTAAGTCTCTAACCCCCCGTCCCCGGCGGTGGTGGTAGCGGTGGCGGTGACGGTGACGTTCGACGCCCACTCGCGCATTCCGCACACCTCGGTGACCGCGAATGCCTGCCGCCGGAAGTGCGCGCATCCGTCTCCCGATAAACGCGTCTGCCAGACGGAGAGTCGCTCGCGTTGACGGGACTCAACGCGAGAGGAAATGGTGGGATTTCGATTGCGCGAACTGTCGAGAGCCATCAGGATTAATTCATTCCGCCGCGATGCTGCCCGCGATATGCGAGCCAACGTGGGACCGTGGACGGGGAAAGGGCTCCCAATGTAGAATCTCACGGCCGGAAGTACCGCCGCACGATGGAACGGTGAGGGTGTGCTTGATGGGAATTAGCGAGCGATAAGTACCGATACTCTTCGGAGCGGATCGGTGCTCTTTGTATGGCGTCATTCTGCCATACAAAGCGAACTGCTTATCGGCTTTTCACTCGGTACTCGTTTAAAAATCGCCAGCATTAAATTGCTCTTAATGTCAGGCAACTAATGGGAATATTAACTTGATAATACGCAATGCGTTTTTAATTAGCTTAAAATGTTAATGTATTCTTAAAGCAAAAGCTAAAAAGAGCGGATATTTACTTAGCGAATAAATGCGTATCATGGTACTTTAGTACTTAAACTGTTAATAGCGAAACATTTATAATTCCATTTGAAAGATTTCTTTTTTAAAACGTTGGAAATAATTAAAGATAAAATAGTCATGATGTTTAATAAAAAACATATTTTTAATAACATATTTTTCTAAATATATAAATTTAATTTTTATTATTAAATTCATATTTCATAACAATAATGATAGCAGTCCTGGTATGGTTTTGTAAAATTTCCGTTGCATATTTTCGTTCAATAAAATAATAGAGATTTTACTGCGTTATTTAATTTCTACAATCAATAATAATAAATATAATCAATATATATTTTTTATTTTTTAAAATTCCACTTTCGCAGTTAGAATATTTTATCTTTATTTCAAAAAGAGATATAATAATTATTATTATTTTAATTAATGATTTTGTTATTTTGTTTTGCTTAATATATGTTTAAAGCGTGTACCACACATCGAAAAAGAAAATAGCAAATATGTTCATTGAATAATCAATAATTATACAATTAAACTGAAAGTACATATTTACACTATTACTTGATTACACAATGTCTATTTGTAAAAAAGGCAAATATAGATAGACGTGCGGAGAAAATCACTTCACAATTTTAGTCATGGGATTCACAGTGACAAAATTCGGCGTAGTTTTAACCCATTTTAGTCAAGAATTCAAAGTATCAATTTCTTGGAAAGTAGATTGAGAAAACTTTCTTCTTTACTTTTAATCAGAAAAGTTTGAAAAATCCGAACAACCCTTGGAACCGTCGGAGCGTAAAGCACACCGAAAGGGTTAATTAATAAACGCAACGCGTCGAACTCCCGCGAGTCGATGGCGTTCGTGGAGTCGAGAAGCGTGGAGCGTGTCCCGACTATTTTTAGAAAAGTTTCCCGAATTTTCCTCTTTTTCGTCCTTTTCCTGAAAGCTTCGCAAGGAAGCATTAGTACACTCAGAGGCGTGTCATATCCTATCATCAGCGACGTAGATTAATGTTACGCCGCCGTGGCCGCGCGCGGCGGCGGAGATTGTCGCGCTTTTCACGGGAATTCCTGTATTTATGATGATAAGCCTGATTTCAACAACCTCGTCGCGGTGCGCCATAGAAATTTCGATAAAATACACGCGACAATAAAATGATTCTCGTGTACGGTTCTCACTCACCGGCCCGACAGTGAATCGTCATGACGCAGGCAGGGGAGAGGATGATTTATAACGCGCAACCGGCAGTTCGTCGGGTACACTGATAGGCAGGAAATAGTCACGGCTCTAATGTAAGATTACGGAAGGCTTAAGCCGAGCTTAATTTCAGGGCTCCCTCCGCGAAACGCCTGAAACTCGTGATACGCCGCGAATTGGCGAAAGCCAGTGTAATTTTTCT